TACCCATCTGTCTGTCCACCCATCCATCCATCTCTATCCCTAGCTATCTACCTACCTACCTATCTGCATACATTTCAGTGCAGACATGGCATATTCGTGCAGGGTCTGTTGTATGAATGGATGCAACGTAGGTGTCCCCATCTGCCTGGTGGTTGGCCTTTCATGATGCACTTGAGTGGTTTGCTATGAGCTTGAGCAGCTCGGTGTCCATGAGCAGAGGGTATCGACATCCATGAACTAGTGCTTGATGCAGGCTTCCACCTSTCTTGGGTCAGTGCCTAGGAGTGGAACTGCCGTGTCCTGGGGCGAGTGTGTGTTCAGCCCTGGCAGATGGTGCTACGCGGCCCGGGAGTGGATGGGTCGTCAGGTGCTCCCATCAGCTCCCATGAAGCAGCCCGCCCCCTAAATCCACCTCCGGAGTTTCTGAGGGCAATGTATGTCCCAGATATAAAGAGGGCCAGCGCCACTGGTCTTACTTGTTAACAGTGATCGAGGGTGACCGTGAAAGCCAACAGTGGAAGCTGAGCCGGACACTCTTCAGACGGGCTGGTGGGGACGTCAGGTGCTCCAACGGGAGCTGCAACCTTCCCGAGGACCCAGGGATCCCGGTGCCAAGGAGGGCAGCCTTTTCCCCCCGGCTCCTCTCTCCTGAGGTCTTGGGCAGGCCTGAGATCTCTGCCCACTGCCCCTGAGCACAGAGGGCAGGGCCAGGGTCTGTCTTCTGCCTGCAGCTGGCCCACAGGGGACTGAGGGGCGAGCTGGTGGAGGAGTGGTCTGGGAGAGGGTTGGTACCAGGGAGACCAGCGTCACGCTGCCGCGTCCTGGGGACAGAAACACAGGCAAGCGGGAGAGCTGAGGCCCCGTCAGGAGGCAGCGCAGTGGGCTCAGCCACTGACCTGATGTGGGCATGAGGAGGGACAGTGGTGGCTGATGCCTGTGGAGATGGCGGAGGACCCAGGAGGAGCCTGCCTGGGGAGACAGTGGGCAGAGGTGTCAGGGCCAGGGACGGGTCTGGATCTGGGTTCTAGGGCCTGGAGACACCGTCCCCACCAGGGAGCTGGGGATGATGATCTGTGACGCAGAAGTAAAGGGCACATTCTGCCCACCCTTAGGTGCTCGAGACGCGACTGTCAGCTTGTCGTTGACCTGCTCTGATGAAYGTCATTCAGTGTGCATCACCTGGCACACGCCCACGACAAGCCACCCCCTGCCCTCCCAGGCCGGCCGCCTTCATTGTCTGTCTGTATTTCTGATATTTCTTTGCAGAGCTCTTTTTAGTGGGCACATGATAGTTGGCGTATTTAAGGGGTAGAGTGTGGCGTGGCAGGACGTGTGGGCCATGTGTGACGACAGAGGGGGCGACGGGCATGTGTCTGTCGCCTCAGACATTTGTCACTTCTTCTTCCTGAGGGGGAACCTCGGGGCCCCTCCACGGTCCCGCTGCAGCCCCAGCCCCAGCCCTCCTCTCTCCTCCCCGCCTCCCCGCCCCGCCCCGGCTCTGGAAGCCTCCTCTGCCCCCGGCACAGGTGAGATTCCTGGAGATGGTCTTCCTCTCTCGGCCGTCACATCAGTYCACCCCTCCACCCTGCGAGGGCACCTCTGAAGAAAGAAGATGGACCGTTTCTCACGCCTCGGCCATGCTGTCCCCCATTCAGCAAAATCAGGGACAGTCCCTTGGTCTCATCAAATCCCCAGTTCTTCATGAATCTACATGCTCTTCTTAAGTCTTTTTAGTGGTTTTTACAGTCTGCATCCCAACATGGAATCCTCCACTTTAGAGACTGTGGGGTTTCCAAGTTCTCTTTGAATCTACAGGTTTAAAAATCCGACAGAACCATCTGTATCGCACAACCCCAGCAAAGAAGAAAAAGCTTTAAGAAGATTCCCACTCTAACAGTGTGCATTTTTAAAACAGTGACTGTTTGTAAGGGCAGTCGGTGGTTAGGACAGTCCGTGGTCATCCATGTGATTTCAGGGATGCATGCACCTTCCTGCAGCAGGTCCAGGTGGGGGGTCAGCATCACTGTACGTCATTACAGTTCAGATGGCGTCTTGCCAACAACTTCCTGGTTGCAGGTTAGTCCGATACAGAATGAGAATGTTGAAAAATGTCTCTTTGATGGTGGGGAGCCATTCTCGCACGTGATTGGGCACCTCCCGGATTGGGTGTGAGGTGCTCTGGCCAAACTGTGTCGGAGCTCATCCCCACCCTCTCCAGGTGCGAGAGCCTGTCCGTGTGGGGGTGTGACTGACCACTGACCCTGAGGCCAATCACTGCCCCTGACCTTGGAGTGCTGCCCCCCTCGACCTTCATTGGATCTCACTAGTTAACTTTTATGCCAGGAACCTCTTTAATGAAACCAGTGTGCTGGTGGCCTGGTGGATTTGATCACAGACTTTAAACTCCTGCATGGCAAATTGATCATTTTTATGACAAAAAGAGAGGCTRGGACCTCAGGCCCTCTGGGAAGGCCAGGTCCTTCTCTTGCTGACGAAGATTGGATTTATCCATTTTCCATTGCCATAGAAAAACACCTGAGACTGAGTACTTTATAAAGAAAAGAGGTTTATTTAGCCCACAGTTGAGGAAAATCAAAAGCCCACGATTGGTTTGCCCTGGGGAGGGTGGCCTTGCCGGGTGACACACAGGGCCTCTACATCGTCAGGCAGGTAGCCAGAGATTCCAAGGCGGGGCTGGTGTCAGAGACAAACCAGGGTCCCTGGACACCTCCTTGCTGCCTCTCCAGGACAGACCTGGGTGACCCATGACCTCCCTGTAGGCCCACCTCTGAAAGGGCCCGCCACCTCCGACCATCACCATGCTGGTGGTGTCGCCAACATATGGACGCTTGGGGACAAACCACGAGCCAGGCAGGGACCTGAGGGTGACTCTGTCTTCTGAAGACCCGCGACTGTGCTTCGGGTGTGGATCGGGGGTGTGTGCGTGTGGGCACACACTCAGCCCAGCTTCCCCTCCCCTGCTTCGTTGGCCTCCGGGCACTCACCGCCGTTGACACACGGTGTCCTTGCCGTCCCCTCTCTCTCTTCCCGCTGGAGCGCGAATCCCACAGTGTGGCTTTGTTGCGATCGCTGGGTGCCTCTGGCACCTGGGACGGAGCCTGGCGCCCTGCACTTTTTAAGGACGCGTTGAGTGGCCGGATGTCTGTCAGTCCTCAGATTCTGAATCCTGTTCCTGGGACCAGAGGAGAGGCCGTCCCTGAACCCCACGTCCTCCTGGGGACATGCAGAGCCTCAGGCCTGAGCAGACGCGGGGGCTGCTGGAGCCCGAGAGGGCCACGGCGCTGCTGCCCTGGGAGAAGCCCACGCACCCGAGCTTCGCCAGGGACTGGGAGGCCGTGGACGTCGGGGCCTCTGGCTGCGGGAGCGAGAGAGGTGAGGGAGGGTCCCAGGGGAGGCGGGAGGGTCTTATCTGGGCTCCGGGAGACGGGGCCCTCGTTCCTGGCTGGTGTTGGCCGGCCAGCTGGTGGCCGTGGGCCGTGGGTCTCAGCAGGCTGGCCAGGACTCTTCCGGGAGGCCTGCGGCCTTCTCGGGAGCAGCAGGGGAGGCGGCAGGTYTCTGCTGAGTGCCCAGTTATTCCTCGGCCATTGGCCAGGATGAGCCGCAGGATCAAGCCCAGAATCAGCAAAGAAGGGGGCTACCGGGGGCGGACACAGACACTCGGTGACAAGCGTGGACACTGCTGTACGCCAGGCACCGTGGTGGGGGCTGGGGATATAGTGAGAGGGCCCAGCAGGGCTCGGATTCCAGCTTTGGGCAGTGGGACGGGATCATCTGCTGCCATCTAGGGGTGGAAGTCTAGGCCGTTTTGTAAATCTGTGGGACTCTGGCCTCGGGGAATCATGCTGCCCAAATGTGGCAGTGCCCAGGGTGAGAAGTCCCACCTCTGAGCCCGAGRGGTTGCGGGGTCCCAGGTCGTGGGTGGCAGCTGTCCAAGAGAGAGAGGTGAGAGAGTGGACAGACGCGGGCCACATCTGAGAGGGAGAATTGGTTCTTGCTGGGGACATGGGAAGTGAGAGAAACCTGGCTCTTGGGGTTCTGACCAAGACAGTGGGACAGCTGGCTGTCTGCTGAGACGGGGCATCTGGCCACCGCCCACTGCAGAGGGGCTGACCGTCCTCCAGGGACGGGATGGAGCTGAGGTGGGGGAGGGAGGAGGAGGCTTGGGCCCTGGGGGCTGTGACAGAGGAGGAGGGAAATGCCAGTCTCTGCCCAGGGTCTTCAGCTTCKGGCTGAGGACACTGAGGGGCCACCGTGGGAAATCACGGACCCCGTCACCCTGATGTCACCCCCTGGCGCTGCTGCTGCTCCCGCAGTCAGTTTTGCTGGAGGCCCATGGAGAAGAGCTCCTGCCAGTGGACAGGTGAGGGGACAGAGGCCTAGGGAGAAGGGCACATCAGGTGAGCCAGTGTGAGGCCAGGAGGCCGTAGGGTCCGAATGCTCACGTCCTCTCCTGCCCACCTGAGCTATCCTGGCCAGCACAGCTGGCAGGAGTCGGCAGAGAAGGGTAGGACGCCAGTAGGAAGAGTGAGAGGGGCGGCCTCAGTGGCCTGGTCACTCACTCATGGCTCCTTTCCTCTCTGCTCCTGCCCCCGTCAGACCTGTCTTCTCAGGAGACTGGACCTCCCCAGGAGTGGTGCYCAGTGGAGGAAGATGACGAGTCAGAGGACTCCCAGGTATGTGGCAGGCGGGCTTCTCTCCTTTTCCATCAGTGTCTCACCCTGAGGATCTCAGTGGGCTGCCATGCTTTCCTCTTTAGCCTGGGATTTCCATGCCCCATGGAATTTCCAAGAGTTGTCTTGTGGGAAAGAGGACACATTCTTATGGTGATCAGACACAGAGACACTATGTGATAGGTCTGTAACTTAATCCACACATGCTCTCCATCCCTGCACTCATAAACCCACCCATCTCTTCACCCACCCACCCACCCACCCACCCACCCATCCATCTATCCATCTCTTCATCCATCCATCCATCTACCCACCCATCCATCCACTCACCCACCCACCCA